CTATGTTTCCCCAAAACTTCCCCTCTCTCCATGATTTGGCTTTGATTTTGGTTATATATAGATCGATATAATGTAGTGTCTTGGAAAATGTGTAAATATATATCCTATCCATATATATATATATATATATATATATATATATATATATATATATATAACTAAATTTAATTCATCTATGAAATTAAAACCTCAGTTGAACAAATTTAACCCTCAAATAAATTATCTTGAAAAGTTGTTCCTTTAGACTGCTTTGATGCATTTTTCCTGGAAGGAGAGTGCATTTCAATATAGAAATAGTGCAGGAAAAAAGAAAGTAGGATGGGGGAAACCTGACACAATCCAATGAACTGTAATTGCAGATACAGGCTGGTGCCAGTAGGGGACAAGCTGTCCCTTCTTCCAAGAGCAGCTTCCAGGGTAGTACACATGGTTTTAGGCCTGTATCTCATGAAGAAATACTTTATTCCAGAAACATTCAGTAAAACACACCTCTCCTTTCATTGTGTTCAACAATGTCTCAGGAACAGTAATGCCTCAAGTAAAGATAAACACTTTGGGGGGGATTTTTTAATTGTTAAGTGGGTTTCCCTTCTTCCATCCACTCTAAGATTAAAATGGAAGTGGAAATCAATATATAATTGACACCAGTGTTTTAACCTGAGCACTGAAAAGGACAATCAAATGAAAGTACATATGGGCAGGATAAGGGGTCTGTCCCCTATTTGTACTCACCACTGCAAGGTGATTTTCAAATCAGACTGAGAAATAGTGCTGTCTACAAATACTGTAGCACACGAGCTGTACTTTTCCCTAAGGTGACCAGGAGACACCTGAATGGGAAGGGGAGCAGAAGAAAATATCACAGTAAGTTAAACCTACAAAAGTGTGTTTTTCCTTGGTGAAAATGTCAGACAATTAAGCATTACAATTGTTCTCATACCCTATGAACTGCTTCAGTGCAATACCATGTGCAGCTCTACGGCAAACACACTGCATGCTCTCTCTTCCAATGATGAGAATTGACGAGGGGGTCATCAAATGCTGCCCTTGACATACTACCTATAATCTTACTTGGCAAACACCTATGATTAATTGCCTTTATAACAATGTAAAACATTTAAAATAAGATTTTAGTGTTTTTTCCTTGAGAAATGAATCCTGCCAAGATTTCTATTTCTACTATTTATTTTCTACATTAAGACATACTGCCTTCTATAATATTGAAGCAAGAGCTTTTACTGAAGTACATAAAAGCCAATGATAAATGTTAGTTCAGGAGACAGTGTGACAAAATACATGTATCTGAGGCAGAGGTGTGTGTGTGCTGGGGCTGGCCTGCGGCTCACAAGTTAGGGACCAGAGTTCTCTCTGGGCCTCAGTTTCCTTACCTTGAGAATTAAAAAGTATTGTTTTAAGATTCTCTCACATCCAAAAATAGATCAAACAACTCTGAGAATTTAACTCTCTCCTCATGTTGAAATAAGACTATTATTACATTACTCAAAAGAGAACCTCAGATAATACGGTACTTAACATGATATTACAAATTCTACTAGAGGCCTGGTGCACAAATTTATGCACACGTAGGGGGTCCCTTGGCCTGGCCCGCCAATCAGGGCTGATTGGGGCCGTCTTACCCAGTCCTGATCTGGGCTGATCAGGGCCGACCAGCCAGGGGGAGGGACTATGGGAGGTTGGCCGGCCACAGGAGGTTGGCTTTGGGAGCACACTTAACACCAGGGGCAGTTTCTGCATTGAGTGTCTGCCCCCTGGTGGTCAGTGGGCATCATAGCGGTTGGTTGACTGGTTGTAACGGTCTCTTAGGCTTTTATATATATATAAACTAGATCGAATGCATAAGTTCATGTACGAGCAGGGTACCTCAATCAGGGCTGATTGGGGCTGTGGGAGGTTGTTAGGCAGCATGGGCCATGAAAGGTTGGCCAGCCAGCCTGATCGGGGCCATTGGGGCCAGCTGACCAGGGGAGGTGTCATTGGAGGTTCCAATCAGGACCACTGGGGCCAGCTGGAGGGAGGAAACATGGGAATTTGGTTGACTGGCCTTGGGTTACAGCCATGGGAAGTTGGTTGGTCAGCGGGAGGTGCTGTAAAGGGTTGGCCAGTCACCTGGGGGGAGGGGCTATGGGAGTTTGCCCGGCCCAAGGGAGAGACTGCAGGAGATTGGCCAGGCCATCGGGGCCATCAGGCTGGCTGGCCAGTGGGGGGAGGGTTTGTGGGACGTTGGCTGTGGAAGTACACTGACCACCAGGGGGCAGCTCTTGCATTGAGTGTCTGTCCCCTGGTGGTCAGTATGCATCATAGCTACTGGTTGTTCGGTTGCTTAGGCTTTTATATATATAGATTCCCTAAGCTACATGATACTAATCAGGACCCTGCCTCACTCAGATGCTCTCTCTGACTACAAGGCCTTTTTCTTCCACTTTTTCTCAGCAAGGTTAACCCCACTTCCCATCTACCTCCAGGAGACTTCTGCCAACAGCTACACGACACAACTGCTCCCTTTCTCTGCACTCACACACCTGAGTTACTACTTGTTACATGGTATCAACTGCTTCCAGGGCATCCCTCTCATAAAAAGTGAGCTTCTCTAGGGAAGACAGGACTTTCACTCCTCTTATACCTCCAACCTTCTCAGCACAGAATCTGGGGCAAGTTAGGCGTGCAACAGGTGTTTGACCAATTGTCTAAAATCAATTGCAACTGGAAGGCAAATCCTACTACTGATACAAGTTAGAATTTACCTGCAGCGGTGTCAGACATATGACAATGATTTTTTTGAGATATGCTAGAGAATAAATTATCTTTAAAACAGTAGAACTATTCATGTCTTTCAGAAGTATTCATTCATTTGTTAAGAGCCCAACAATATAGCAATAATCAAATACGGAAATAGCCCAAACGATGTTACAAAAATCCTCTTAGAGTAAAACCAAAACCCAATTCTAGTCACTGTAAGTAGTTGAAAGTAATAGTAGTATTCTTTAATATGACAGAATACCAACATTCTAATAAGCTTCATTTTGTTAGTGGCAAAATGGCACCAGATGTTTGACTTTTGTCGTTGAGTTTGGCTGAGGAAGAATTTAGAGCCAAGAACTTATTATAAGAGAAAGTATATTTAGAAATTCCCAGAGGTAGAAGTGAGCCAGTGTTGCTGTGTGGGCTCAACACACAAGTTACAGAGGCAGAAGAAGGGCCCCTGGAACTTAGAAGAAAGGAAGGAAGAATATACACGCCCAGGGGAACAAGAGCAGGAAGGCATGGGCATGCTCCAGAGTGAGAGCACCTGAGAAGAGGGCGGGGAAAACTACAGGCATGCTCAAGGGAGAGAGAGCACAGGTGCTGGGTCCTTCATCTTAACGGCTTTTACCTAAAGGCAGAAATTTTAGGGACGGTCTTAGGGGACCTAAGCTGGGCCTGAAGCTGAAACCAACTGAGGCCTAGAAATTACTTCTACTTTGACCAAAACTCTATCTCTAAGCTCAGCAGACCGGAGGCTTTGTTACTAAGGTTGTTAGAATCACGCCAGGACCTCTTTTGTCCTCAGGGCTTAATGCTATGGGAGTCAGGATGCAAGGGCATGCATGCAAGTTGTATGAGGCTATTCTCTGGGACCCTTGTTTCTCTTCAAGGGTGTCCATATGCTGGGGGAGGAAAGGTGAGGGGACCAGCGATATGAAAGTTCAGGGGTTGTAAACTGCATGACCTGTGATATGCTAAGGGAGGAAAGGTCACCCTTGGGTGAGGTCCCACCCTACAATACTTGGTTTCCCAGTTTTGCCCATTGCTAGGCACCAACAGCTTTCTACTTTGGTGACATACTTGGCCTATCGTTCCTACTCTGTTCGTGTCTGCCTCACTGCCTACTGTATCAGTTTTCGTGTGTCATTATAAACTAATTCAGATAAGCCTTCCTTCCTCATATTCCTATAAAATAGCTTTTATCATGCTGTCATACTTTCCCACCAGTGTCCCCCTCATATACACAAAAGACAGGAAAGGGAGATTATCTGGTTGATATATTTTAAAATACAGAGCATTTAAAAACTGCCAGTATCCAAGAATCAGAAATATCTTTATATTATACTAGATGCCAGATACACAAAATTCATGCAGGAGTAGGCCTTCCTTTCCCTGGCTGCCAGCACCAGCTTCCCTCTGGCACCTGGGACCTAGGCTTCCCTCACAGCCCTGGCTTCATCTGGAAGTTGGTTGTCCGGGAGGATGTGGGGTCAAATTAGTATATTATACTTTTATTATTATAGATAAAATATCAATTTGCCTGTTTCAGATGCTTCCCTTTAAAGCCACTGACTCCTCAGTAACCAGAGGCTCCAGATGGCATAATTTGAAAACAATCTCTATTTGGAGGAATAAATTCTCCTTCAAGCTAGTAATATCTTAACTATAGCTAAAACTCTGATATGTTTCTTGAGCCATGCAGTTAACATATACTTTACTTTTCAGATCTCATCAGACAAATACAGCTTAAATTATGAAAACTCATCCAAATACTTTTTTTCTAAATGGAAGGTTTACTACTATACGGCTGCAATATGGCATATAATACACCATAATAAAGTCAATTATGACCAGAAACCTATATAGGGGGGAGTAAAAAGAATAGGAAAAAATGCACCAAAATATAGACTAGTTAGTAAAACTTTGGGTGATATTTGCTCCCATTTCCTCTATTTAAAATTTTTTCCATTATAAATGTACATTGTGTTCTATTTGAAAATAGTGCTAAAACACTGAAAAGTTTTAATCAGACATGGGCTCACAGGTCTATGGGGGTTCATTTAGTAAAGCAACACTTTACAGTATAGTACTGTTAGGTCCAATCAAAGCAACACTGAGTACTTCCCCATCAGTCCAGGTCTACTCCCAATTTTTCAAAATTTCCAGTACCAAGTTTCTAGTACCCACTATGGTGGCAGAATTAAACCTAGTAGCAAATCCTGGATATACTGGCTGCCAGATGATTATGTTCCTCTCATCTTGCTTGAATATGTAAAACAATTGTTCTTTATGCTTAAAACTTTACTGTTGCTGCCTTACAACGTCAATAAACTCCACAGAAAACCATAGAGATAAAAATGCAAATACTAAAAAAGAATCAAAGAGCCTAAATGCTAATGACAAGGTAGTCTTTATAGGTATTTCAGTAGGTCACTAGAATACACAAGGCAAAAATCCTACTGTATCTTCACTCATTCAGAACAAATGGTAGAATAGATAGACTTTTACAATCTTTTCAAGAAAGGGAAGCGATTCGTTAGATTTACTTATTATTATTGTTGTTTTATATTGTCTAAAGTTTTACATGTCTACTTTTTCCCCAATTGACTGCCCCTGCCATTCCCACCCCGGGTGGGCAAGCCCCCACCACCCCAGTGTCTGTGTCCATTGGTTATGCTAATATGTATGCATACAAGTCCTTTGGTTTCTCTTCTTACCACCCCCCTCCCCGCTGCCATTTGTCTCTGGATCTATTCTTGTTTATCAAATTATGTTCATCATTATATCATACATATGAGTGAGATCATGTGATATTTATCTTTCTCCGACTGGCTTATTTCGCTTAGCATAATGCTCTGCAGTTGCATCTGTGCTGTTGCAAATGGTAAAAGTTCCTTCTTTTTCATAGCAGCACTAGAGGCACGGTGCATGAAATTTGTGCACTGGAGTGCTGTCCCTCAGCCCAGCCTGCACCCTCTCCAATCTGGAAACCCTAGGGGTTGTCCAACTGCTCGTTTAAGCCCAATCCATACACCGGCAGTTGGACATCCCTTTCACAACCTGGGAC